CACAAATCAAGCCTTGGTAAATTTAAGAAAATTGTAATCATATCAAGTATCTTTTTCAAAATGCAATGTTATGAGGCTAGATATCAATTACGGGAAAAAAACTGCAAAAAATACAAACACATGGAGGCTAAACAATACACTACTAAATAACTAAGAGATGACTGAAGAAATCAAGGAGGAAATCAAAAAATACCTAGAAACAAAGGACAATGAAAACACCACGACCCAAAACCTATGGGATGCAGCAAAAGCAGTTCTAAGAGGGAAGTTTATAGCAATACAATCCTAACTCAAGAAACAAGAAACATCTCAAATAAACAACCTATCCTTACACCTAAAGCAATTAGATAAAGAAGAACAAAAAACCCTAAGGTTAGCAGAAGGAAAGAAACCATAAAGATCAGATCAGAAATAAGTGAAAAAAAAATGAAGGAAACAATAGTAAAGCTCAATAAAACTAAAAGCTGGTTCTTAGAGAAGATAAACAAAATTAATATACCATTAGCCAGGCTCATCAAAAAAAAATAATAATAAAGGGAGAAGACTCAAATCAACAGAATTAGAAAGGAAAAAGGAGAAGTAACAAGTGACACTGCAGAAATACAAAGGATCATGAGAGATGACTACAAGCAGCTATATGTCAATAAAATGGACAACCTGGAAGAAATGGACAAATTCTTAGAAAAGCACAACCTTCTGAGACTGAACCAGGAAGAAATAGAACATATAAACAGACCAATCACAAGCACTGAAATTGAGACTGTGATTAAAAATCTTCTAACAAACAAAAGCCCGGGACCAGATGGCTTCACAGGCAAATTCTAACAAACATTTAGAGAAGAGCTAATACCTATCATTCTCAAACTCTTCCAAAATATAGCAGAGGGAGGAACACTCCCAAACTCATTCTAGGAGGCCACCATCACCCTGACACCAAAACAAAAGATGTCACAAAAAAAGAAAACTACAGGCCAATATCACTGATGAACATAGATGCAAAAATCCTCAACAGAATACTAGCAAACATAATCCAACAGCACATTAAAAGGATCATTCACCATCATCAAGTGGTGTTTATCCCAGGATTCAAGAATTCTTCAATATATGCAAATCAATCAATGTGATACACCATATTAACAAACTGAAGGATAAAAAACATATGATAATCTCAATAGATGCAGAAAAGGCTTGAGACAAAATTCAACACCCATTTATGAAAAAAACCCTCCAGAAAGTAGGCATAGTGAGAACTTATGTCAGCATAATAAAGGCCATATAAGACAAACCTACAGGTAACATCGTTCTCAATGATGAGATTGAGTTGATGAAAAACTGAAACCATTTCCACTAAGATCAGGAGCAAGACAAGGTTTCCCACTCTCGCCACTATTATTCAACATAGTTTGGAAGTTTTAGCCACAGCAATCAGAATAAAAAGAAATAAAAGGAATCCAGATCAGAAACGAAGAAATAAACTGTCACTGTTTGCAGATGACATGATACTATGCATAGAGAATCCTATAGATACTACCAGAAAACTACAAGAGCTAATCAATGAATTTGGTAAAGTGGCAGGATACAAAATTAATGCACAGAAATCTCTTGCATTCCTATACACTAATGATGAAAAATCTGAAAGAGAAATTAAGGAAACACTCCTATTTAGCACTGCAACGAAAAGAATAAAATACCTAGGAATAAACCTACCTAAGGAGACAAAAGGCCTGTATGCAGAAAACTATAAGACACTGATGAAAGAATTTAAAGATGATACAGACAGATGGAGAGATATACCATGCTCTTGGATTGGAAGAATCAACATTGTGAAAATGACTATACTACCCAAAGCAATCTACAGATTCAATGAAATCCCTATCAAACTACCAAGGGCATTTTTCACAGAAGTAGAACAAAAAATTTTACAATTTGTATGGAAACACAAAACCCCCAAATAACCAAAGCAATCTTGAGAAAGAAAAACGGAGCTGGATGAATCACGCTCCATGACTTCAGATTATACTACAAAACTATAGTAATCAACACAGTATGGTACTGGCAGAAAAACAGAAATATAGACCAATGGAACAGGAAAGAAAGCCCAAAGATAAACCCACACACATATGGTCACTTTACCTTTGATAAAGGAGGCAAGAATATACAATGGAGAAAAGACAGCCTCTTCAATAAGTGGTGCTGGGAAAACTGGACAGCTACTTGTAAAAGACTGAAATTAGAATACTCCCTAACACCATACACAAAAATAAACTCAAAATGGATTAAAGACCTAAATGTAAGTTCAGACCCTATAAAACTCTTAAAGGAAAACATAAATGACATAAATCACAGCAAATCCTTTTTGACACACCTCCTAGAGAAAAGGAAATAAAAACAAAAATAAACAAATGGGACCTAATGAAACTTCAAAGCTTTGGCACAACAAAGGAAACCATAAACAAGATGAAAAGGCAGCCCTCAGAATGGGAGAAAATATTTGCAAGCGAAACAAGTGACAATGGATTAATCTCCAAAACACGCAAGCAGCTCATGCAGCTCAACATCAAAAGAACAAACAATCCAATCCAAAAATGGGCAGAAGACCTAAATAAACATTTCTCCAAAGAAGATATATAGATTGCCAACAAACACATGAAAGGATGCTCAACATCACTAATCATTAGAGAAATGCAAATCAAAACTACAATGAGGTATCACCTCACACCAGTCAGAATGGCCATCATCAAAGCATCTACAAAGAATAAATGCTGGAGAGGGTGTGGAGAAAAGGGAACCTTCTTGCACTGTTGTTGGGAATGTCAATTGATACAGCCACTGTGGAGAACAGTATGGGGGTTCCTTAAAAAACTAAAAATAGAGCTACCATACAACCCAGCAATCCCACTACTGGGTATGTATCTTGAGGAAACCATAATTCTAAAAGAGTCATGTACCACAACGTTCACTGCAGTTCTATTTACAATAGCCAGGACATGGAAGCAACCTAAGTCTCAGTCAACAGATGAATGGATAAAGAAGATGTGGCACATATACACAATGGAATATTACTCAGCCATAAAAAGAAACGAAGTTGAGTTATTTGTAGTGAGGTGGATGGACCTTGAGTGTGTCATACAGAGTGAAGTAAGTCAGAAAGAGAAAAACAAATACCATATGCTAACACATATATATGGAATCTACAAAAAAAAAGGTTCTGAAAAACCTAGGGGCAGGACAGGAATAACGATGCAGATGTAGAGAATGGACTTGAACACATGGGGAGGGGGAAGGGTAAGCTGGGACGAAGTGAGAGAGTGGCATGGACATATATACACTACCAAATGTAGAATAGATAGCTAGTGGGAAGCTTCTGCCTAGCACAGGGAGATCAGCTTGGTGCTTTGTGACTACCTAGAGGGTGGGATAGGATGGGTGGGAGGGAGACGCAAGAGGGAGGGGATATGGGGCTATACGTATGCATATAGCTGATTCATTTTGTTATATCCAGATAACTAACGCTACAACGTTAAGCAATTATACTCCATTAAAGATGTTTAAAAAAAAAGTTTTATCACAGATAAATTCTTTTCACTTGCATTTTGTTTTCAGATATTGGACACACATTAATTCTAGACTGTTGGCCCTTAACCACAGTTTTAGCTTGGCATTGATGCCATATAAATGGATTTTAGGGTGCTTATGAATACTCTAAAATAATAGGAAAATTTCATCAGCTTCTCAAAGGGATCACAAAGATTAACAAAGGTTAAAGAACCACCACTCTACACATCCTAAAATAACATATTACAATTCAAATATTTCTTTGGTAAAACTGGTAGCTGATTGGAACTGTAGCCTAAAAGTTTTAATCAACCCTTAACTACCTGAGTGTTAGTAACAGACCTCTATAAGTGTATAATACCTCTTTTACACTTGATTCTTTAAAAAAAATAAATGAAACAAAACACTCTGTGGTACAAAACATTGTTGATAGAAATTAAAGGTAACATAAATAAATAAAGATATATTCATGGTTAGAAAGCCTGATAATTTTAAACTGTCAATTCTCCGCAAACTGATCTATAGATTCAATGCACTTAATTATAAGCCCAGCAGACTTTTTTGGGTAGAAATCAACAAGTTGATCCTAAAAGTTATAGGGAGATGCAAAGAACCTAGAATTTCCAAAGCAATTTTTAAACAGTCAGTATAAAGTTGAAGGACTTACATTATGTAACTTCATAACTTAACAAATAGCTATGCTAATTAAATAGTGTGATACTGTCTAAGGACGGACCTAAAGAACAGTGGAACAAAATAAATCCTAGAAATAGACGCCCAATTATTCAGTCAAAGGTACCAACACTATCTGAAGGGAAAAGCAAAGTCTTTCAATAAACAGTACTAGAATAACTGTAAAGCCATATGGAAAAAAATGAACCTCAATCCCTACCTCATAAGAAACACAAAAATTAATTTAATGTGGATCACATACATGAAAATAAAAATGAAAATATAAGAGATTTAAGGGAGTAAAATCACTTTGCATCTTCTAAAAGTCACCACAAAATATTTTCCTATTTCTTCAAAATGTTGTTTCTCAATTCCATTTCATAATAAAGTAGCTACACAAAATACCTAGAACACATTGTAATTGAGTCTGGGTGGACTGAAGATAATCAAACAATTGGCTAAAAAAAATTATGTAACTTCTAGAATAAGCTGGATGTGAAATCTGTCTAACAAAAACACATATTCTTATTACTATGTTTATTATTTGAGGATCACGGCAAAAAATTCACTTTCCTTTGATGGACAAAGTTGTCTAGATTTAGCTCGAATTGTTCTAAAGAGATTTTCTGAACTTTAATATACTTTTATTATAAAGATTAAAGAGTCTATATATTCACCTACTTGCCTTTCTCCCCCTCTGTCCATTTCCAAGAGTAAAAATTAAACAACAACGTGAACAACAACAGTAAAACATGCAACACAAAGATGTTTACCGGAGTCCGTAGAGAACTGTTCCATCAGGATGCAGTCGGATCATTCTATTTTTCACTGTAACCCCATGCACAAATGATTTCTTGTCATTCAGAAAGTAGGTGTCTGGTACCCAGAGTTGGTCAGCTACCCTGTTGTCTAGCGTGAGGTTTAGTGGGATTCCAGAATAAGAAAGCCTTTTGTCTTTCCAAGACTGCTGGAAATACATGGTGAGTGTATAATCCTGCAAAAAAAAGGAAACCGAACAAAGAATTTTACCATCATCACCACCACCACCACCACCACCACCACCACCATCATCATCATCATCATCATCATCACCATCTAAAAGCCTTTTTGGTAAGAATGTGATACCATGTGGTACTGTGGATACCTAGAGACTCACCATTCTGTGGTCACAAAGCACCGAGCTGATCTCCCTGTGCTAGGTTGACTCACCAACCTCCCCTACAAGGTTATATTTGAATATATTGAAATTTGCACCTCCAAGTATAGGGCAACCGATAGGTTAGAAGAACTAGTGCAATAATTGAATGCATGCAGAAGCATTTGCACCAATATAGAGTAAATCCATTTAATTGAATTTTAAGGTTTGATGTTAAGGTAATGATATCATGGGGAAGGGTGTAAAGGGAAGTTGTACCTATAGATTCATGTTCACAAAAACCTACCTCTGGATATTGTATTTATAGTACTGCTTGATTCAGGAACTGGTTTGAGTTCAGAGATGGGTTTGTACTCGAGTTTGTTTCCCCATCTCCTGTAAAAGGTTACACTAAGGACATACCTTTGCACTTTTCTTTCTGCCCAGGTTACCCCTGGCAGTGAGAGACAGGAAGATTTGGGCTCAATAAATGTGTCAAGCTCACAGGAGAGGAATGGTGAAGATTATCTTAGAGCTTTAGTTGTATGTTTTTAAAGAACTCTATTAATACAAAGTGTAAATGTCCATTTAAAGAATAAGAGGTAGCAGTAAAATCATGAAGACTTAAGATGCGGTCCCAATATTATAAAAACAGAAGGTTCACTTTTTCTTTTAAAGGATATTTATCTGTCAACAGCTTTAGCTGGATGCTTTAGCAACAATTAAGAAAACACGTCATAATTCCTACACAACTCTGTGTACTGCCATTGTTATATATACCACTGTTTGTGAAGCATTGGCTCCGATCATGTCTTACATCTGGGCAAACTGCACTTCATCTAGATACCTATATGGATATTTATGCATTTCTGAAATATCTTAAATGGTAAGACAATATTTGTTCTGGATAATGAGTTCCAATGTCCTTTAACCACTGTATTCAAGAATGCTTACACTGTTTACTCAGAAATAATCTTGCAATAATTCAAAGCCATTCTTTCTTGTTCAATGACAAGGACATTTGCTCTTCGCTACTAATCACACAATATCCTTTTTATAGGTCTGAAACCTCCTTCCACCTTACCTTCATTTAACAGAAAAAGAGAACCCACAGGGTTATACGGAATTCTCTTCTCAATTGCTAACATCTGCATTTGCATCCTCTTCAAGCTCTTTATATCAATACCTTTTTGGAGGACAATGAATTGAACAGATTCTGGGCCTTAGATTCTAAAACACCTCCATTCCAAAATCTACCACATGTAGAGCTATGTAACCATGAGCAACTAACTTAACCCCTTATATGTCAGATGTCTCATTTCTAAAATAAAAATAATAGCATTTTACTAGCTTATTGAAAGCATTACTTGGGAGAATTATGATGCAAGTACTTTAGAAACGAACATGCTAAACAAATATATTATCTTCAAAAATTGTTTGTTGCTATTTAAAGATTAATATCATACTTCCAAATTATTTGGAGTGTACGTATTCGTTTTCATAAGCATTTCCACTTTTAAAGAGATGTTTATAAAAGAACCTGCAGGAAGAAGGACCCTGGTAACCATGAAAGTAAGCAACTGTCTGTCTTGTAAGTCTTGTTGTTGGGGTCTTGTTTGTAATTCAGACAATGTAAGAAAATGAATGACTAGCTCAGCACAATCAGCAATGGGTTATATGTTCCACTACTCACGCTGAATACACATTAGCCTCCAGCTCTCGTGAGCGCTACAGAGGATTTCCTCACAATCAGACCATGAGGCAAAATCCTTACTCCACATTCTCCTCAACAAAGAAAGTTTTAATGCGTGATGAGTAAAAACTTATTATAAAATACAAATGAGAGTCTTGGAGGAAAATGGCGGAAGAGTAAGACGCGGAGATCACCTTCCTCCACAAGACACATCAGAAATACATCTACACGTGGAACAACTCCTACAGAACACCCACTGAACGCTGGCAGAAGACCTCAGATCGCCCAAAAGGCAAGAAACCCCCCACGTACCTGAGTGGGGCAAAAGTAAAAAGAATAAACAGAGACAAAAGAATAGGGACGGGACCTGCACCAGTGGGAAGGAGCTGTGAAGGAGGAAGTTTCCACACACTAGGAGCCCCTTCGCGGGCGGAGACTGCGGGTGGCGGAGGGGGGAAGCTTCGGAGCCGCGGGGGAGAGCACAGCCACAGGGCTGCGGAGGGCAAAGCGGAGAGATTCCCGCACAGAGGATCGGTGCCGACCGGCACTCACCAGCCGGAGAGGCTTGGCTGCTCACCCGCCAGGGCGGGCGGGGCTGGAAGCTGAGGCTCGGGCTTCGGTCGGAGCGCAGGGAGGGGTTGGCGGCGTGAACATAGCCTGAAGGGGTTACTGCACCACGGCTAGCCGGGAGGAAGTCCGGGGGAAAGTCTTGAGCTGCCGAAGAGGCAAGAGACTTTTTCTTCCCTCTTTGTTTCCAGGTGCGCGAGGAGAGGGGATTCAGAGCGCTGCTTAAAGGAGCTCCAGAGACGGGCGCGAGCCGCGGCTAACAGCGCGGACCCCAG